TATATATATATATATATATATATAAATGCATGCACAACCATCTATAATTATTCAAATAACATAAACATTTTAAAAAACAGTAGGAATTTTGTTCAATTCCATCTTCCGCTAACAGTGTTGCCCAAAAAATTCCCATGTAAAAAAAATTCTGCCTAATAAAACCCGCTTAAAAAAGCCCAATAAAAACTGGGCAATCTGGGTTTTAATGGTTTTTTAAAAAATGTTTTATAATTTTTATGAAGTATTATAACCAATATTTTTGAAAACATAGACATATTATAGTAGCTAGCTATAATGAGAAAACTTTAATTTAAATAAAATCTTATTTTCAAACACAATATTTTTCCACAAAAATATTTTTGGAAACCAAATAAATTAATAGATTCGGTATAATGCCAGGGTTGGCATTAAAAAACTTACCCAATAAAACCAAATAAAATCCACCTAAAAACACCCAATATTTTATAATTTTATGAACTATTTTATAATCAATACATATTAACCAACATTTCTGAAAACATAAGCATATTATAGCAGCTATAATATGCTTATGTTTTATATAAAGGGAAAACTTCAATTCAAGCAAAATATTATTTTCAAACACAATATTTTTTCACAAGGATATTTTCGAAAACAAAATGAATTAAAAGATTCATTCAATAATATTTTTTAGAATAAATACACTTTGATAAAAATTATTACATTTTTGTCATATTTTTTACCAATATGTCAAAAATGTAATAATTTTTTAACAAAACCAATTATCTATACTTTTTTTAACTGATTTCTTGTTTCTTGGTTTAGTGATAGACAACTAATCACTGCACAGTATTGTTGATATAATTTGATTCCTTAACATCCTTGTATAAAATCCATCATAATCCTTAAATTTAAGCAAAATCAACCAAAGTACAAAATCAGGATAATGATTGCAAAGCCATTTTCTGCCTTGTCTTCAATTTTAACCATCAGGTTTCTACCTATGAAAAAAAAATTAATTTTATTATTATTTAATCATATTTTTAATTATTATTTTTCCTTTAATTCTATAAGTATTTATTTTGTAATGAAAACTTTAATTAAAAAAAAAACAAAGTACTTGATCTAAAACAACAAATCAATGTTTTTGAGTTGGATTTGAAGACTGTTAGCTTCTCTAAATATTACTAGATTTTCAATGATATTGAATTGATATTGTGTATGATGACATCAGCTGTTGCTTCTTACAAGGTTTTGGGAAACTTATGAAACTAATAGATGCCAACTTGTTCCAACTTAAGATAATGGTCCAGTTATCAGAGCAGATTTACTAATATTTGAATCATTATTTGGAAATACATTCACAAATTTTATTCAAATATTTTTACATATATTTTCCTTATATGTTATTCACCTCCCAAGGCTGAGAAGGCCACTAAAGTCATAGTGGCCTCTTCAGCCTAGTACACCTTATTGTAATAACAACCCTCTCTTAACTCTTTAAATCCCAAACATTGACAAAGTATAGAAGTTATTATGTAGAACTCCAAGATTATGCAAAGTGGCTATTTCCACCAAAGGTGGTTACATAAATGACAGTAAATTATAAAGTAGTTTAATTTGGTTTTTTAATTTTTTATTGTATATTAGCTTATTTTTTAGGTTTTTGTATTTAGTTTTTCTCACAATAGTTAAACTTTTAAAAGTATGACCATTTAAATAAACATGGATGGTAGTGTGTGTGTATATAATAATAATAAGGTATAACTGTAACAACTGTTTTAAACAGTTGCGAAGTGCAATAACATAAGATATTGCACTGTAACAGCTCATTTTGTCTTTTGTTTGTGTTTTAACAAATAGTTTCTGCAAAATCCAGCTCTGCCTAGTTTGTTTTTGAAGTTATTTATTGAAGTATTATTTCAGATTGTAAGCTGTTCCACGCATTTACAACTCGATTTTGGAAAAAATGATACCTGAAGGTATTTCTGCTAAAAGGCTTCCTCATTTTGAATTTGTGCTGTCGCAGACATGGACCCTCCTCCAATGCATTTCCACAATCGTTAGCAACCCAATTTATTTTGTCGTGGCCATGCTGAATTTTATATTGTTGAATCAGATCTCCACGTAGTCTACGTTCTTCCAGTGAAGTTAATTGCATAATATTCAACCTAGTCTCATATGATAATTTCCTAATTGTAGGTGCTAGTTTGGTTGCTCTTTTTTGGATTTTCTCAATCTTGTCAATGTCTTGTTTTAAAAATGGAGACCATGCCTGGACCGCAAACTCAAGATGTGGACGTATGAACGTTGTATAGAGCATTTTTACCATGTTTACATCTAAATATTTAAAGCTTCTCTTTATGGTACCTAACATTCTGTTTGCTTTGCTGGTTGCTGAATCAACTTGTGAGTGCCATTTTAAATCGGATTGAACCATTATACCCAAATCACGTTCAGCTTTTGTGTTACACAATGTATAATTGTAATTGCAATCAATATCAGTCATTATAAATGTAGCATTTGGATTTTTTTTCCCAATATGCATAACTTTGCATTTTTCATAATTAAATTTTGTGAGCCAAATAGATGACCATGCCATTATATTATTTATATCATTTTGAAGGCTTATTGAATCATTTGGATTTTTTATAATATTTATTATTTTACTATCATCAGCGTAAAGTTTAATAGGGTTTTTGACTTGATCTGGCAAATCATTAATAAAAATCAAAAACAGCAGTGGTCCTAAAACTGACCCCTGTGGTACACCACTAATAACTAGTAGCCAATCTGAGACAGTGTCGCCAAGGACCACTCTCTGTTTTCTGTTAGTTAAAAAGTTCTCTATCCATCCCAGATAATTTCTCACAATACCATATGATTGAAGTTTAGTGATCAAACGCGAGTGTGGTACTTTATCAAAAGCCTTTTCAAAGTCTAGATACAACATATCAACTGAGTGGCCATTTTCTAGTGCATCTGTTATGATATCAAGAGTTTCCAATAGGTTTGTTGTGCAGCTTTTATTTTTTCTGAACCCATGCTGATTTTCATTTAATAAGCTGTTATTTATTAGATAATCCATAATTTCATCTCTAATGAGTGATTTCAAAACTTTACATGGGATAGAAGTCAATGAGATTGGCCTGTAATTAGATGCAATGTTCGTATTACCTTTTTTAAAAATTGGTGTTATATTTGCTAATTTCCAGAGTTCAGGTAATTTTTTCTCAGTCAACGATTTTATATATATTAAATGTAATGGTTCACAGAGAGTACTATGACATTTATTTAAAACGTATGGGTTTATCCCATCTACTCCGATAGCTTTGTAAACATCTAATTTTTTAAATTTTTTTTCAATAGTATAGCAAGTTATTTTATTATTTATATCTACTTCTAGAATAATTTCAGTCTTCTGCGGTATATTTGGTATGTTATGTTTATCTTCATTAACACAAACTGAATTGAAACTATTGTTTAAAATATTTGCTATAGACTCTCTATTTGTTACAATGTTATTATATTCATTAGACATTGAAGCTATTCCTCCTTTAACTTTTTCGTTAGAATTTACACAACTATAAAATAACTTGGGATTTCTTTTTGATGTTTCACTGATTTTTTTTTCATATTCAATACGTTTTAACCTCACCATGTTTTTAACTTTGTATTTTGTATTGCTGAACCAAAATGGGTGATTTGGATTTATTTGATATTAATTTGTTCCATAAGGTTGTTTTATGTCTGATTTCAGTCTTAATTTGTTTGTCAATATATGGTTTTAAAGCTATGTGTTTATGCACTTTTTTTGGTATATAACAGTCAGATAATTCTTGATATTTATTTACAAAAATTTTGTAGCATTCATCAACAATTTTATTAGAGAAAATATGTGAACTTCTTATACTATGGAATGAATTGTTCATTTCTTGATAATTTCCGGCTTTGTAGTTAAACTTTCTCATAGGAAGATTTTGATGTTGTTGGTTTTTTAAGATGTAATTCCAATACAATATCTGATGTGCATTATTTAAATTGCTTAACCGAGGATTATAGCCTATGATATATATATATATAGATATATATATATATAAATATATATATAAATATAAATATATATATATGTATATATACATATATATATATATATATATATATATATATGTATATTATATATATATATATATATATATATATATATATATATATATATATATATATATATATATATATATATATGTATATATATATATATATATATATATATATATATATATATATATATATATATATATATATATATATATATATATATATATATATAAACACATATATTAACTAAAAATTATTATTTCAAAAATTGTTTATACAATAATATAAAAAAATTTTTTTAAGTTTGAACTAAAACAGCATTGTATACACTGGTATATAAACTACAACAGCGTTACATTTCTCTATGTTTTCAATGCATTCAAAAAATGATAACAATATTACTTTTGAAGCAAAAAAATTTCTTTAACAATAAAAAATTAACAAAACAGTGAAAAATCTCTCATTACTAAGTAAGTATAATAAAAAAATTGTTAAAAAAAAACTAAAGAATTTTTGCGCAATAAAAACTTGGCCAGATTTCAGTTTACTTGGCCAGATCTATTAAAATAGATCTAGCCAGGTGATGTTGTTGCCAGGTGATGTTATTGCCAGGTGATGTTGTTGCTCAAACTTTGATCTTGGGATAATTTGTATGCCCGAAATCCAGAAATATATTTTTTTTTTATTGTGTTGACTGTTTCCTGCGATGTATTTAGTACATAATTATTAAAGTAGTTTTTAAATACTAGAAGTGCTTTCTCATTTTTTTTTAAGAATAAGGAGAAGGGGGGTTAGGGAGGGGGAAAGGAACGCAACTCAGAAAATTTTTCAATTTTAAAAAAATAAGTAAAAAAATAAAGTAAAAAATTGATTTTAAAGAAAAAAAATAATTTATTATCTTGATTTTAAACTTGATTTAATAGAAAAAATTTGTGGCATTATGGAATCTTTTGAGATGTCTGACTATGAATGTAGCTCTTCAAATGAAGATGAAAAAGGTTTGGAGAATCAATGTAACTAAATGTTTATTGCTTTTTTACTTTTAGTTTAGTTTCTGTTATATTGATGATGTTTTTAAACATTTAGTTATTGAAAAGCATCAAGTTAAATGTTCATTGTGGATTCAACAGTTTCAAGCCCTTCTTAAAAAACGATTATATCACTCTATAAGAAACATAAAAGGTGTTATTTCAGAAATTGTGCTTCCTACCATATTTGTTGCTGTTGCAATAAGTTTTACACTAATTCAACATCAGGATTCATTTAAACCATCTTTAAAGTTATCCACTGAAATGTTTTCCAAACCTAACTATGTTGTTGTTGATACCACAAATAGTAATAAATACTTTGATAGCATAATGAAAGCTCTTATTGAAAATTCTGGACAAGGTTAAAACTTTTAATATAAATTTTGAATTTTTTACTTGAAAATTTTAATTTTTACTAAATTGTTACTTTTAATACAAAAATACTAATTGAAGAAAAAATTGGTAAAATTAATTTTTATTTATTTATACTTTTTGTTATATAAAGTTTATTATTATTAGTAAATATAACATTTTTTATTGTTAACCATAAAAATTTAATAATTACATTATACTATATTTGAGAAATTAATGTGGTTTAATTAAATGTGGTTTAATTAAACTAAATCAATAATAAACTTGTTAATTTTTAAAATAAAAAATATATATTTAAAGTAAAAAAATATATGAATGCTGTTGGTAAAAATTGCACATTAAGTTTTGTGAGTAAAAACTTTCTTATTTTTCACTCGCATTTCCGTTTTTTTATTTATTGGAAATTTCCAAAACCAAAGTAACTTATTATTTTTCATGACAACTTTTTGAAGAACTTTTTTTTGCTAATATTAAGAACTCCTTAAATGTTCGAGGATCTTGAGGGACCCCTAAAAATATTTTTTATTCAAAAAAGTTTTAAATCCAGTGTTTTTTATCATATAGAACACTATATATAAGAATATACAGAATATGTATAAACTACAGAATATGTATAAACTATGTTTAATTATAGTTTTTTAGTCATATTTTTTAATGATAGCTTCTTATTTAATTATCATAGAATTTAGTTCAAAACAAAATGGTAAAAACATTTTCTTTACAGCTCAGAAGAAGTACTTAATATGCAAAATAAAATACTTTACATAATAATAACTTTTATTAAAAAATGATTCTTTAATATTGATATCTATAATGAGCATTTCTTTGTTTTTTTTTTACTTTATTATAATATAAACCACATTATATACTGTATGAACACAAAAAAGTGTTCTAATTCATAATATTTTTCATATAAATGTGCATGTTATGTGCAAATTTACTAAAAATTCTGATCAGGTTGATCAGCAATGTTGGAATAAATATTAGATAAATAAAATAATAATATAAAATTATAGTAATAAATTTGCACACAGTGCAAAAACATTTTTTGCCATAAATATTGGGTGGTCGCATCTTTTTGACCATAACTGTGTATTTATCATTTTAAATCTATTTAATATTGTATTTAAATATAATTAATGTCAAATGGTTAATATTGGAATATGAGCTTTTCCATTTAGTAAGTAATTAGTGGTTAAAAACAACTGTTTGTAACTGCTTTAAAACTGACCAGTAACAACATTCAATAACATAAAACTGTTGTAAAAATGATTTGACGAGCTTAATAATCATAATAATTAACATGTGATAACTAAAAATTTAGACATTAATTTTTTACATTAAATAATTCAAAAGTATTTGTTATTGTTAAAAATAGAAATTAAAAAAGAAAGATTTACTTTTAAAATGGCTGTGTTTATATTTGTATTCAGATAATTATGAGTTTTATTGTGAATCATTTTTCAATGGAGGACATATTGAATTGACTATGTATATATGCTAAAAAGAAAGAAAAAAGAACCAGAAAATAAAGTGGTTGCAAAATAAAATAAATGACAAATTAAATGTAATCATAGTTATCAAAAAGCTTCAAAATGAATATTTATATTTGAGCAATTATTATATTAATTCAATTATTATTTTTCTAACCTAAATTTATATTTTCAATTCTATTTTTCTAACCATATTTTTTATTTATTTCATATTTTAGCAAAATCTTTCTGGATTGCTAATTATGTAAGGTTAAAAATAAATGATAAATTTGAGCCACAATTACTGGTTTATATTGCATTATTGACAAAAGGAACCACCCAATTTTAAAAACCTCTTATCTCTTAAAATGTTGAATTTAAATTATACCAGATTATACAAGATTTAGGGAAATTTATTGAAAAACATCATAGAAACGACAAATGACAGTTGTTATATGAATAATGATTTCTGAAAGAAAGTGGTTTATAATAAAGGTCAGCAAGTTAAAAAAACTTAAAAAAAAGATTGAATATTCTTATAAGAAGTACATTGGCAAGATTTTTGTTCATTGCTGCAACATTTATATATACTCACTTCAATTCAATGGTACTCATTTCAATTCAATGCCCAATTCAATGCCAAAAATGTTTTTTTTAACAAAAAACAACAGCAGATGCTTTTTATTCTATACATACATAGTTTAACAGGAAGTTATAAATATATGACATAATTTTAAGATTTATTAATATTAACTAGCTGATCTGACCCATAAAAATACAGGTCTTTGTAAGTCTATTTTCCACACTGAGCTTTACTATACTTTTTCCTTATATATTTATATCCTAGCTTTCGGACCCATAAATTATATGGGTATTTACCAAATCTACCATTTCTATACTTACTTATTACACACCGATCATACCTATACCTATTATTTGTTTATTTCAATATTTTTACGTAAAATAATTCATTTTAAAAAATTGCTTTATGAGCAAAAAAGTTAACATGGGCACCCTTTCAGAATACCTAGAGCTTTTAAGAGATTTATATTTAGGTTTGTTTTTCTCCTAAACGCATATCATTGATATATTAGTGGTTTAGTGCACTTTCACCAGGGTCGTTTTGCAGAATTAATGACATCCCCTTATAAATTTTGAAAAATTTTCATTCTTTCTGTATTTATAGCAAAATTTATAGCAAAAATTTTATAACAGTACCACAGTTTATTATTATTTTATAATAGCAATATTATTTTATAATAGTATAGCAGAGCTAAGAAATCTTAGAGCATTATAAACTATAGACTATAAAACGCTGAGGAATTGCCCACAAATTACACAACGCTAAAATTATTTTAAAAAAAGTAGAAGAGATCTTTAGTTCTTTAGGATGGCAATTTTCATTAAACTTAATGAGCAATTTAGATTTTTTATTTAACATACGACTCTGCGAGAAAAAATTGAAAGATTTGAATGATCATTTTTGTTTTTTTCAATTGTGAAATTTAGCATTGCATATTTTATGGACGATCCCTTATTTTAAAGTTTAGATAAAGAATCAGCCAAAAAATATTTATAAAGCCAAAAAATAATAGTGTGTAATACTATTTTGATGGTTATCTAAATTCTGTTGATGTTGCGCACTCGATTTTGAATGTTCAACATGTACGGAGATTTAAATCCCCGTACTGTTTTGAAAAAGTTAAGGTTGCCGCGTGGCAAGTTCAAATCATCAGCTTGCTTTATTTTTTAATTTATGTTATTTAAAATGCAAAACAAAACATCTTTACAGTTCTATAGATTTTATATTCTATATATAAACATGTTGTATACTCATTTTTCTTGCACAAACTAAACTTAGTTGTAAAATAACTTGAAATGTAAAACTAAAAAAACGTAAATATTTCAACCATGACACATATGCAACAAATATCCCCCTGTTTTTTAATGTTTTTAGAATTTTTAGCTTTTTAAAAAATCTTTTTGTTTGTTAAAGTGTGTAACATTGTTAGATATGTTTGTATATAATCTTTATACAACTTCACAAGTATTTAAAAAATTAGATTAAAAATTAAAGATTAAAAAAAAAAAAAAAAACGATGTTGGTTGGATTCAAACCACAGCCTTCTTGTTCAAAAACTCAGCACACTAACCACCTGGTCATGCTGGAACATTGGTCATTGAAATTTTAAAAATATATAAAATTTTTTTTTAAAGGAAATAAGTGCTGTAGATCAAAAATAAGAAAAGATTTATGCAATTCAGTTTTTAAGTGAAAATCAAACTGTAAAACTTGATATATCTTTAAGTATGTTTTAAATTACATAACTTGTTACATTTAACTTGTTTAAATTCACAAATAGTTTTTGAAGATTTTAAAATATTCAAAAAAAAAGTAGGCGGGCCTTGGACTCAAACCACAGCTTTCTTGTTCAGAATCTCAGCGCACTAACCACTCAGACATGCAGGCACGTTGGTCATCAAAATTTTAAAATTAAAATAACATGAAGTTTGCGTATGTACGATATAAGTTTCACATTCGCTCACGTTTTTTTATGAAGCAAAACTGAGACTCTTTCTTGCCAATACTTTAGATGCAATGGCTGCCAAGGGTTTTTTGTCAAACACGCTCCAAGGGACACTACTAAAACTATTTAAAAATTGTGGAAACAATTTTTGTGATAATTTCTCATTTTTGTTATTAGATCATTGTTTTATTAAACCTTTATATTTCCTTTAGCCAATATTATAATTAATTATTTATAATTAACATAATCTTTTTTAATTTTTAGATAGAGTTCACCCGTACTTTTCAAACTGCACACATAGCAAACTAGAATTACATAATAATGTGAGTAACTATGAATCTAGTATTAAAGAAAGTAAAGAAATAAAATTTGGAACAACTACTTATAGAACTGACAAATGTGATAATCCAACTTTTATGAGAATTGCAAGTGGAGATACGATTATCAACGTAACTGGTTATAATATGAGTGAATACTTAATTTCTACTATGCATGAGTTCATAAATCATAGGTTAACTGTTTTTCTTTTGTATAAATGTAACTTTGAGTACAATAATTTAATGTATTTAAATGTTTAACATAATAATTCTAACATGAATAACGATAAAATATTTTTGAACAAAAAAAGTAATAATAGTCAGGTTAAAATTTTTTTTTGACCTCCCTAATGTCAAGCTACTATAGTTTTTTCAACCTCCCTAATGCCAAGCTACTATAGTTTTGGAGACTAATTAAGTTTTTTTTTTTTGAACTTCAAAACACAAGTCTTGACAACCAATGCTGCTGTATGGAGAAGTTTCTTCATACACACAAGCACATCAAACAAAAATTCTTTGTTTTGAACTTATTTATTTGCAACTCATCCCTGACATTTGTTTTACATTTGTAATTTTTAAATGGATAAATGTGTGAGAGCAATGTGGTATCCAAACCACTAAATTTAAAGTTGTTTGAGTACTTCATTGCTATTTCAATCCATTAAAATTCTCTCACTAAATTAAAATGTCTCTTGAAATACTGTTAATATAGTTTCTTTTTTCTCTAGTTGGTTGTTGTTTTTAGATTAAAGAAATGAGTTTATAATGGCAGAAGTGATGGTTACTAAACTAATAATTGATTTATTTGCAATTTGTAAATTCAATTAGATCCACAATGACTGTTGCTGGTCCAATGGTGAGGGTTTTGGGGATTTAGCAATCTGTAGCTTTAAAAGCAAAAATATAGTAACCTAAAAATATAGGCATTTTAGATCAGTCTAAATATTGTTTTTCTTGATATGTTTTTATTATTAAAATATAAAACTGGTATTAAAATATTTTGCTACAATTATTTTTTTGTTGTTAAAGACACAAAAACTGAAAATACAAAATATAACAATTTTTTTCAACTAATTACCTCTTATTACTTCCATTATTTTATAATTAAAGTTGGGCAATACTACACCTTAGCATTAAAAATTATAATAAATGGTGTTGTTGTAAAATATAGTTTCAAAATCACATATTTGCATTAAAAATATATATGTATATATATTTATAATACAATATAGTTTTACAAAATGTATATTTTGTTTCACTAAAATAGTTAATAATACAAAAATAACTGGTCATTTTAATATTTAAAAACTTCATATACTTTGTTTTTATATTTTATTTATATTTTTTTAGGTAAAGCATGAATGAAAAGCAACATTGTTCATAATTTTTTCATTTTTTCGAGTTTTAATATATTATGACTAAACTATTGTTATATACCCATAGTTGTAGAAATCTATTTTAAAAATATTTAAACACAAATTAATGTTCAAGTAAAATTTCTTTTGATAACATATATATATAAATTTTTTTTTGATAAAACAAATCTATAACTTTTCTTTTTACAACCAATATCTTAAAAACTTATTTGATTACACAAAATTTATTTTTTGACATCTATAAAACTTTTTTTTGTGTGCTTATTAATTAAATCATAATTTTTTTTTCTTTGTAAACAATAAAAAAAACCTAAAATAGACATTTTGGTTTGTGACTTTTAAAACTGATTATTTTGGTATCAATCTTCCCTATTCGTTATGTAAACAAATCCATCTTAAAAAATAAGAATGTTTCAGTTTAGTTTAAACAAATGATGTCTACACAGAAAAAACCTTCAGGTTCCAACCTAAAAAAATTTTTATGGTCCTAAAAAATAAGTTTTTATAAATCTATCAGGTCCATCAATATGAAATTTATTTTGATTTACCAAGTTATCAATGACTTCAAATTCAGGTGAAACTAATTAATTGCCAAAGAAAATAATGGATGCATTTATAAAAATACTTTTTCTAAGCAATGAAATTAAAAGTTAAAACATTATAAAATACTAAAAATGAATAATGCAAAAAAGAAAGTAAAAATATACATATATATATATATATATATATATATATATATATATATATATATATATATATATATATATATATATATATATATATATATATATACATATATATTAAAGTTGTGAAATTAAATTTTGTAACAGCTGATGAGATTGTAGTAAGAAAAAATAAATAAAAAACTATTTTCCAAAGAATGTAGAGTTTTCAGATTCTTTTATCAAAATATTTCAAGCTCACTTTAGAATTCTATATATTTAGTTTATGATAATAATGTTTAAATATCCATGCATTCAAAACAAAATCTAAGCATGACTAAACTGTAGGAATTGTCATTTTATGCAGGAAGATTTTCAATTTTTTAGAAAGATGCAAGTTGATAACTCAATTTTTTTAACTTAGTAAAAGTTACTTTATATGAAAATGCAAACCTTTATTTAAGTTTAAATACAAAATCAAATTATTTTGAATATAGAACTTATTTTTCTGAAATATGTAAAGAACCTTTACTTGCAATTAAGCTGAATCCATCAAAACTGAAAAATATTTTGTGGTTATAGATAATACCCTCAGGGTGTTAGCCAGCCTGATGGCACCGTGTATAACGCGGTATTCCCAATTGGTTTAAAATTCTAAAGGTTCATATATATATATATATAAAACTTTTACTTTTAACTTTTGTTAACATCAGTTATTCTCTACACTGTTAAAATATTAACCATTTTTGTTTACATACGTGGTTGAACAACTTAAACTTAAAAACATCTTAACACCTATTAAATTTCATAACAAAACTGTCCAGTCTTGCAGCGCGCTGCAGCGACTTGTGCAAGTATATTAACAAAAATGGTTAATATTTTTAATAGTGTAGTTAAGATTTTTCAATATGTTTAATAAATTATTTTATTAAATTATTTTTATTATTCAAAAACTCTTTATATACATTTTTTCTGTTTATCTTAAGTTACAAAGAAAATTGCATAATTATAAATATTATACTTTAAAATAAGTTAATAATGATTATTATAAAAGATTTATTAAAGTAGATTAGGGTAATATAAGCATCTTAAGCAAAAATTAGAATATTATCAAAAATAATTATGCTGGATCCTATTCATGATCTACTAATATATTTGGGCACCTGAAATTTTTTAAAAAAAAACACAGACGTTTTAAAAACGTAGTAAAAGTGCTCATATTACCCAGACCTCTTGGTAATATGAGCACTTTATATTAGCTCAAAAAAATAACATTAATTAAGTAAAAAAATACCAACCTGACAGTTCGAACTAATTTTTGAAATACAATGATTCATTATTAACAAAACTTATCATTAAAAGATCAAATTTTTGGGCCACTTTTTGTTAAAACAATACTACTATGTTATATAAAAATTAATTTTTTATTTTTTTTAATTTTATTAACTCAAACCTTTAAACAATAAAAATTCAAATTTTTTGATTTTAAATTACAGAAAAATATTTAGTATTGTTTAAATAATAAAATTTTTTACTATGTTTTGTTTTTATTTAAAAAGCACTGCTATTTTAGAATATTAAACTAGATAATTTCAATAAAAAAGACTGGGCAATTTGAGGATGCTCATATTACACAAAAATAGCATCTTTAAATAAAGTCAAAACAAAATGTTTTTTTGCATTGTTTTTCAAACAAAAATGGATTGAATTTTTAGTTAACATATTTTTCTTTCTGATGAAAAAAATTAATTTGATTATCTTAGCACCAAAATTTTGCGTCATAGATTTATTTATGTGTGATAATATTATTTTAACAACGCAAAAAAATTAACAATGTTTTAATTAGATGATAGCCACTAATTATTGCATATAAATTTACGCTAATTGTATTGATTCCTGTTATCACCACATAAAGTTTATATGAAAATCACAAAGCAACTTGAACTTCACTGCTTAAGAATCTAAGAAATATTTAAGCACCCTCATATTACCAAGGTGCTCATATTACCCTAATCTACCCTAATACTTTCGGTAAAGTAAATTAGCTGGTTAAGTAAATAACAACAATAACATCAAAAATAAAACTTGCAATGAAATGTATTGTCTGGGTTATATTTGTGTAAAACATAAAAGAAGATAATTAAATAATAATAAAGTGTTATTAATTATTAACAATTATTTATAAATACAAAAATTAATTTTTTTTTAATTTACAAGTACAAAATATACATAGATGTATATTTTTTAGTTAAAAAAGTTTTTGTATTTAAATTTA